TTTTTGGTCACCCTAATAACGGAATTCTAGCCATCAGGATAGTTTTTTTTTTTTTTTTAATTTAAACCAAAAGCTTAAATACTATTTTCATTCAAATTTTATCCAATTTGAATCGGTGGTTTTTTACTTTTAATTCTTATCCATTTTGATCTTTATATTTTCTAAACATTATCCCTTTATTTTCTTAAAGTATTGATATTGTAGTCGAAAATAACGAAATAGAAAATAAAATATAAGGAAACAAATTATCACTTTAAAAAGTATACCAACCAAAATAAACCTTTCGAAAATATAAGAACTTCTTCATCTCGAGACTCAACCCTTTGTAATAGTAGAAACTCTCTGACCAAATATACAGTTCCAAACACCTCCAAAGATCTCTCCTGACAACTCCGAACCGGGCCAAGTGGGTTCGGGTTCGAGTTGCTGTCAATGTAAACTCTACACAGAAAACGATGAATGGGGTCTCTGTAAAATCTTCCCATAAACCTTGTTGTCCATTCTTCTTAAATCTGATTGAATTCTCAAGAAAACTCAAATCCTTTTTATGGAGTCCATGTATGCTCCTGAGAGGAGAAATCTCAGTCTACACAAAAAGCTGTTCTTGTTCTCTCTAATAACACGAGGAAGAGACCTTATTGGACAAACAGAACCAATAACAACAAAGTTTTCACCATTATCAACATCAATCTGGAACAAATCATCAAAAACTGATCTGAATTTTTCAATCAAGTTCTCAAAGAACAACTTGTCAGGAGGAATCACATTCATTACAACAATTCCATGTTCAGAAAGAACTGATCTAACACTCAAGAGAACATCTCTCCCTACAAACTCCAACGGCGGAGCGACAATGCCGCTGTTTCGAGCATCGCTCGAATCCAAATCAACCATGATCACATCATATCCAGGCTTCTGTTTCTTGACTGATTTTGAAGTGTTTTCAAGGAATTCAATGGCGTCTCCAATGGAAATGTGAAGAAATTCGTTCTCTGCTAATCCGAAATACTGGCGGGCGACTCTGAGAACCTCCATGTCGATCTCCACACCGACCACCTCAAAATCCAAATGCGTTACAAGGAAGGAAAGAAGAGCCCCGCCCCCAACTCCAACACATAAGGCTTTAGGTTTATGGCCAATTTGAATCTTTCCGTCAATGGAGGAATCGATCAATGAGAGGCTCGCCGCCATTGGAGGTAAGTAAGGATGAACAAGAACCCTAGTATCTGGTTTGAACTCGATATTTTGGATTTCAACGCCTTCTTGATTTAGATTAGTCTCGGGGATTATACGAATTTCTGTTTGGATAAAGTTCGGCATTGTCCTGAATCTTAAACGCCTCCTGAATTCCCTAGTTTCGAACATTTCCGTCCTCGATTCTCTCTCGATTTCCACATCCTCGATTAGGAATTCACCGACGTAAGAACCGATGCATCGCTCTAAAACTACACTACACATCACGTTATCGACGTAACTTAGGATCGGTACTTCAGGAATTCCAGTTCTGAAACAAGATTTGGGAGATAAAGCAAGAAAAATAGGGCGCAAGCTTACCTCCAGTCTAATCCAGATCGAAGCCAAATCCTCGTCCGACGAACGATTGTAGATCATCAACGCATCATCGTCGACCGGGGATTGTTGATCTCCGACTAGAATCAGACGCAAAATTCCAGGCGAGTTGAACAGAAGCTGATAGTGGCCGGACTCGGTGGAAAAAATCCAGTCGGTTTCTCGGCCCGGCGGAACGAACATCGCGGCCACCGAAAGCGAACCAGTGGATTCAATCGGTGAATCGAGAACAGCGACTCGGAGGTAAGATTGAGAGTCACAGGGGTTCGGGAAAGAGAAGGATACGAAACGAGAAGGTTCCAAAGATTCAAACATATGCACATCAAACGCCATTGATTTGATCTGATTAGAGATCCAGAGCAAGAGCAATTTCAAGATCCTCCAAATTTAAAGGCTTGTAGCGATGGTTAAAACCTTTGCACCTGCAAATAGAGAAGTAGTCTTATTCAATTTCTTTCTTCACCTTAGAGCCCCCATTGAACTGAAACAAACAAATTGCAATATATTTGTATGAATTACAGGAACGTTTTCGCTCTTTAAAAGTCTTCTTTACAGCTTAAACGGATTTTATATAAACTATGCACAGAAATTGTTTCAACAATTTAACGATAAATTCCAGCAATGAACAGTAATGAAATATAGAGAATTGAGATGAGAATTTATAGTGGCTCGATCTAAAAGACCAGCTCCACGCTCAACTTGCAATGCAAAGATTAATATTCCTTCGAGTCTGTATTATTAATGTTGGTACATACGGAACAATATAATAGGCACACGAATCATAAACAAAATGAGAAACGAAATCACTATAATCAGATAGCTAATACTTTGATTCAAGAATGGAAGAATTAGAGGAGCAAATTTGAATATAACCAATCTGTTCAAGAACACTTAAAGAGGTAAAGATACAGAAATACGACCTCAACGCTTAGATTTGTGTCGAATCCAAATCTGGATCTGAACGGAATCGCCAAAGAACCTCCCTATTGCACGACCCACTCCGGCTGCGGCGATACAGATTAGCGTGCGGCGGCTTCCGGCAAACGTCGTCGACGGCGTCAACTCCCTGCAACGTCCGAATGGCGGACCGCGATCGACGGCAACGATTTATCTCCCAGCAGCGACGGCGGTGCGGGACTCTCCGGCGGCAGCAGATGGCGGCTCTCCGGCGCGGTCTCTCCTCCAGCAGACGGCGTCGCGACACCTCTCCAATCCCCTCTTCTTTGAGACTTAGGCTCTTTTTCTTTTTCTTTTTCTTTTTACATCCTTTGTCTTCTAAGTCTTAGGGTTTTCCAATGTCCAAACAATGATAAATTTAATTTTAAAATTTAAAATACCAAAAGCCATAAAATTTAATAAGATTGAAACTTATATGATTTTTTCATGTAAATTAAAATTTCTAACCTTCTAAATTTATAATAATAAAGGGATACCTAAAGTTTCAATTTCTAACATGATCGTGTGTTTTTATCATTTGCGAGCCTTTTCAACATATATAGATCATACTCTTTTTAATAGTTTTGATCTTTATTATACCAAGACATTATCTTCACTTTGGTTCAGTTTCGAGACATTATCTTTAATAATAAAGTTATACTCTTTTTTTTTCTATAAAAAGACATTACTTTCACTATGAATCCAAAATACTACGAAATATATGAAACCAAGTAAAATATTTATATGTTGAAAATGCTAGTAAATAAGGATAAAAACAAACAAATCTTTTAGAAATTGAAATTTTAGGTATACTTTTATTATTATAAAATTGAAATGTTAGAAGTTTTAATTTGCATGAAAAAATTGATATAAGTTTCGATTTAAAGCATACGCGTCTTATTTATCTTATTGAATTTGATAGCTTTTAGGTCTTTTAAATTTTAAAACTCAATTTTTTTAACTTAATTTTAAAATTAAATTTAAAAAATACACATTTAATCCCTAAGTTTTAAAATAAGTTTCTATTTGATTCTTAAGTTTTAAAAAGTGACAGTTTATTGTATGACTTTTAAAAAATAATTCTAAAAGGTCGTTGGAGTTTACTAACAAAATACTGACGTGACTTGATCAGTTGTATATTTATTTAATTTTATATTACTTTTGACATATTTGTATATTTGTATATTTTTTTTTCTTTCTATCTCTTCCCCTCTTCTCTCTCTTTCTCTCTTCCCTCCCCGAACTTCTAGTTACTCTTCCTCCCACCTAATTATGATCCACCATCCTCTTCGACGACCTCCGACCAACACCACTCGCTTCCCGTATTTACTAGATTTGATTTTATATTTCCACCCATTGAATTTTAGTTTTCAATTATATTTGAATTTGAATTATTTCATAACATCTATTATTTTATTTTTAATTAATGTTAATGTTTTTTTTAACTCATTTGATTTGATTGCTAATATTTTTCAAGGTTGTGGACGACCCCTTAATTTGATTGATAATATTGTTCAAGTGGGCTATCTCTCATTCTTCCAAGTTCTCTTGATTACAGAGTATGCCACATCCTCCCAAACTCTCTCCTTCGTAACAATAGATTCTGTACTAATCGTACTATCTACAACTTTACCGTTGCCTCGTTTTTTTACCACGTTAGGGGTTGTTTCACAAGGCCCATTGGGCTCTATATAACCCATTGAACAGTAGATTAATTGGAAGCCCATTAAGCCCTAATTTTGAGACAATCTTATTTTAACATTTCTACTCTTGCATACAATTGCACGAAAACTAGATGAATTTTAAACAGATTATTACGACTTACAAGTACATCATCATAATATATTAAATAATTTAAATTTAAAGAGGAAAGCAATCCATGTTGATAAAATATGACGAGGGTAGTTTCATATTTTTCAACTAATGAGATCAAAATCCAAATATCGATTCTCTAAAAAAAGGAAAAAAAAATCAATAAGTCAAAAGTTAATCCTCCAAAAAGTATTAAATATCAAATATCGCTCCTCCAAGAAGATCCACAAACAAAACGTTAATCTTTTGAGAAGATCAACATGCTACGACAATTTCAAAGACTTTCAACAAAATAAAAAACTGACTTATCAACCTGAGTATAGATTTCAATTGGTTAAATCATATATCTTTGAACAAAAGGTAGAGAACTCGAATCCCTACCACATGTTATTGCATAAAAAAAATGCTCATTCTCAAGACAAGTTGAAGACTCTAACTTTCTCGATTTAAACAAGCTCATCCGGAAAAAAATCGAAGTATATATATTAGAGATTATACCAACTCAAATATAAATAAAACATTATATTTAGTTCATGAATTAGGACAATCTTCTATGGACCCTTTTTCTTTTGCTCTTTTTTTGTTTTTTTTAGAATATAGCACATAATTACGGGAACAAATTTGAACCTCGTTTAGCTATAATCAAGTTAAATTTGAGGGATAATAAAGCTTAAGCGTACGACTTTAATAATTTTTTACTTTTGTTTTCCTTAAAAAAAAAAAAGAAGGAAAAGCCAGGCTGGCATATCAGACGAGAAATGTGGAGAGGGGAGAACACGGGTTGACGATCTTATCCTTTTTGTCACAGATGAGATGACGAGGATTGGTGGTTGAGATCTTCCGCGTGGACAAGATCGTCCACCATCATTACACGTGGCGCAAGATTAACATATTAGTCCGTGTCTGACCGGCTAAACAGGTAAGCTACTACTTATTCCACGTGGACCAATCATACTACTCCACGTACACTCAAGAGAACTAAATTTTAGTATTCTCTTCAAAAGTCCATACTATTTTTTAGAAAATTTCAAAAACCACCACTGAATTCTAGGAGGTGTTACAATTTTATCAATCACCCCTCCTGAAATTATGAATTTATAGTAAATTCAACCTTTAAATATTGCAAAATACATCACTAATTCTTAAATTATAAATATGGTTACAATATTGTGACATTCAACCCCAATCTTTTTTAAACCTATTTTTTATTTTCTTAAACTCAGATGTAAGTTTAACATCGATATATGAAAATCAAAGTTTTTAATGGTTATTTTGAAAGTTTGATCGTAACAATCTTTATAGTTCAAGGTTAGTTTTTGTATTTTGTAATATTTACGAGTTTATTTATAATAATTTATAAATTTAGACAGGTGATTGATAACTCTTATTGTAATAACGAATAGATGGTTTTTTTGTAATTTTCTCACTATTTAAAAAAATCTCAAATGGACACTTGATAATAACAATACAAGACATGAGACTCTAAGGAAGTTGACTTTTTGACTAACAAATGTAGTTATGGAATGCACAAGCACAAAAACCTCAAACCCCCACCAAAGCTACTTTTTTTAATGTCTATTCATGATCATGAGTATCTCTCCCCTCTCTCTACCACTCTATTTAAACCATCCTCACAATTCCAAAATTCATCTCGAGATATCAAATAACTCTATTATTCATCTCTTCTAGAGTTTTGTTTCTTCTTCGATGGCTTTACGATATGGTCTTTTTACTTTCTTGTTCTTTTTTGTCTTTACTGTATCTTCTCCTTCTACAATCATGGCAACGTCTAGAGGTATGCTTGCTATAAAACCTACTATAACAACTTTAGAAGCTACGGTACCAAGTTCTAGCGTCGAAGTGTCTTCTTCAACCATGTTTTTTGAAGCACTTGCACCATCCACCGTTCCTACTCCTCTAGCCATATCCAATAATGAAGCGCTTACTTTGACAACTTCTAAAGGCACAGTTGGTGTAGTAGTACCTACTCCATCTACATCCAAGGTCACTTTCACGGTAGGACGTAGCCCGTTGATTTCATTGTCTCCACGTTCTGATGACTTCGTCAATTTTGAGGTTCCAAATGGAATGGGCGCAAGGCCACCAATGACTGATTGGGCTATTCGAAGCTGCAAGCCCAAAGGAAAATTTAGGTATTCTGCTCCCAGTGATCGCAGAAATTAGTAGTTGATTCTTGTATGACATGTCATACACAAAACCAAACTCAAAAACATAATCAACCTTACACATTATTAATTAGTTTCTTATTAATTATTATCTTCTCTCTTATACTTGTACCAATTCTCTTAAAGTTTCTATGTATCATCAAAAGTTCAGTTACACTACACAAATAATTACTCTGGCTAACTAAGAGCGGATTAGCTTAAATGAATATATATAATTAGTCTATTTAGTTTTTGGTTTAACAAATTCTAAATTGAATGAATCGATTTGGTCATCTTTTTAAAAACAAAACTGAAATGACATTGATTGTTGATTGATTTTGATAAGTTTTGATGTGCACCCCTACCCCAAACTTATTTTTATTGAATTATTTGCGGGGTTATAGATTAAAGCTAATTATATAAACTAGAATTAGATAAATAATATTACAAATATCAAAGTTACCAAACTTGTTAAATATGATAATCTAAGTACAGTTCAACAGTTAAGGTATCAATAACTTTTCTTTTCAGTTGAACGTTCGAATTATGACAACATACATATAAAAATAATGATATTTTCAAGTCATACATAACATACAACTTACATGATCATATTAATAAATAGTGAATATATAGTTAGTTAATTGAAGAGATAATTAATCAGCCAAGATGAGTATAGTTCAGAGGTGATTGACATCTATCTAGATCAAAAGTTTGAATTCATACCTCCAATTTGTTGTATTAAAAGGATTTAACGATGCTATAATTAAATAAAGGAATCATACCAAAATTTTGAATTATTTACAAAGTAAATTTATCCATCTCCCGCAGCTTTAATTTAAGAAATAATTGCACTATATAATTTTCCAATTAATCCGTAGGCGTAAATTATACTCTTTCCTTGTTTAATTTTAACAAAATCGATAATATACTTCATAGATTTTTCATATCACAAAAATAAAGTTAAATTTGAATAAAAGATATAATTATATCTTCACTAATCTGATATTTTCCATATATTTAAACTAGTTAGGAGACGGAAAACGATTTCGCATAAAAAAGGGAATTGAAATTCGGAGAAGAATTAGGAAAGAAATCCCCAGACCTAAACCCGCTGCCATTAAATACCTTCCTTTAATCTCTGATCGTCTCCAAAGAATACCTAAATTCTCTCTGTAGAATCTACATTACTCTCTCTCGCTTCTTCAATTTCCTTTCGCCGATCGATCGCGTTTTCTCTTGTTGTTGAATCGATTAAGTTGCGCGATGAGGAGGATTCTGCTGAAGACTTGTGATAACCAGATTTACGAAGTGGAGGAGGCGATCGCGAAGCAATCCGGAGTGATTCGTAACTTTCTGGAAGATTTCGATGGCGATTGCGTCGAGATTCCGCTGCTGAAAGTGAACGAACGAATGCTGAAGGTGGTAATGGAGTGGTGCGCGATGCACGCCGGGGAGGAATTGGAGGAGAAGGAACTCCAAGATTGGGAGAGCAAGTTCGTGGCGATGGACGATCTTGATTTTCTTTACGAGGTACTGATGGCGGCGAATTACCTAGAAGTGGTGGATTTGGTCCATCGCCTTTGCAAGAAAGTTGCCGACATCATCGCCGGAAAGCAGCCGGAGGAAATTCGGAAGATCTTTAACATTGAGAATGATTTCACGCCGGAAGAGGAGGCGGAGCTCCGGAAGCGGAATGCTTGGACTCTGGATCCCAAAAACAAGTAGTATCTTATTCTTGCTGCATTTGCTTCTGAATTCTGATGGAATTCTTTTTTCTTTCTTTAATTTCTTTTCTTCTTGATCTTCATGAGTTAGGAGATGGAATTCTTTAGTAGATTTTTTATTTTAGTGATTTTTCTAACTCTAGTCGATGATGTCAAAATTTCAATACTGATGGAATATTCTAATATGTTACGACACTAAATCTTAGATCAAAGAAAAGTGTAATTTGCCCAAGAATTAATATGGATATAAATAAATAAAGTAATATTAAACTTGTTATTTTAAAATTGGGCTTAGAAAAATTGTCCAAAGGGCCATCTCAACCCAATGGCAATAATACATAAACTCAAGCCCTTAAAAAATAATATACTACATGGACAGACATTATGTATATTAACTATAAAAATAAACAATAAAATTCATTCCAATATTTTTTATATTTCCAAAATGCCCACAAAAAAATAAAAATAAAAAACTTATTTCAAGTATATTAACTATAAAAATAAAGAATAAAATTCATTGGACATTTGCAATTTAAACAAGATCCAAAAATTCGGCATGCCTTTTAATAACCATTCAATAGCATACCTTTTGTAATTTTGTTTCATACATCCAACCGTGTTAGTCACATTATTTCAACGATTAATGGGTGTGCTTTTTCATGAGATTGAGAAATAAAAACTATTAACCACACACGAGATCAATGAATGTGCTAAACATAACGAGAGTCATTCGGTGATAAATGATTACCACAAGTGAGAGCCAATAGAATCTGGTCCATTTTTTCTTTTTTTTAAAATTTTTTTCATGGATAGAGAACTAAACCAAGAGCATAATTATGGATTCATCTATCTTATTAATCTAACGTCATCAAATCTCAAATCTTTAGCTCATTAAATTATATTATTCAATATGATACTCATAAGAAAAAATAATCATAATGACCTAAATGCATCGTACTTGGAAAAACATTTGGTGTTGATTTTGTATTTCATAAGAAGCTTCCATTAACCACTAATGACCTTAGTGGTGCAAATTTTCAAATATTTCTCACCTAACCTTGTCCCCATTTTAGCCCATACCATAAATTCAATTTTATTGTTAATATATATATACATATCATCAATTCCAAAATATTAAATTTTCGTAACATTTCTATATATCTACGAGTTTAATATCGATATTGACATAAAGAGGGAGTTGGATTTTCACAGTAAAAAAATTAACAAAATATAAAACTATCAACAAAATATTCACATAATATTAATATTAATAAATTTTGTGAAAGACTTTTTTTTACTTTAAATATTTGTTATAAATTATTTTTACTTTTTTTTATAATTTTCAAACATATCTATCGATATCGATATTTTATCAATATTTTTATCTATAATTTAGATCATGTTATTAAATATCCATTGACACGTCGACATTTCTATTGACATGTTCATGTATCCATGAGTTTGAAATTGATGTTTACCTTATAGTACAAATGAATTGATAATGATGTCACTAATATATATATATACATAGTACTAATATTAATCGTTTTAAACTTATTTAGAAATATAAAAATATTTATTTGTTAATTTAATTTTTTTACGATTTTTAATTTCTCTGAAATATCCATCGACATTGATATTTTATTGATATTTCCATGTAACTGAGACCTTGTATTTCTATCAACATTGACATTTAAACTTTGATTGAGACTAAATTTAAAATTTTATTCACAATATTTAGGTTTAGATTTTAAGCGCAACTGCCACGTGAGCTTTATATATGTTGTAGGTTTAAATATATATATATATATATATATATCCAACAAATAGATTGTGAGTTCGAATCTTCGCTCTTACATGTTGTAAAAAATATATATTGATTTTGTCCATACACTTAAATTTTAAGAATTTTTAATTAAATATTCTAACATAATTTTTCTATTAATTAGCGCAATAAATATGAGTACGAGGATTTGAGCCTCCAACTTTAAAAAAACTAAATGTAAAATCGAGCTATATATGTTCATTTTAGCCTCTAATAAAATTTCTATATTGATCTATAATTTCCACATTAAAATTTTCCTTCTTTTTAAAGTTTTCAATTTTATTGTCAATGTATCAAAAATTTTCAATTAAGCTCTTTTGTTAAAAAAAAAATTGTTAATTTCTTTTAATATAAAATTTGTAGAATATTGAAAATTATTGTTTCATTAACATGTTTGGATACGTGCACATACACTACTTTCAAGTAATAGATTTTGTTGATGGATGAGTCGAATTTTGTTGGGGTGTGAATTGTATTTTATAGGTTAAAGTAACAATTGAAAGACATGTTCACATATTTGAATATGTCAATAAAATAACAATTTTAACAACCGATCAACTTTTAGTTAACAAATTTTAATAATTTTTATGAAATGACTTTAATTGAAAATGTTTAGTACATTAAAAATGATTTGAAAATATTAAAAGATAAATAACCTAATTGAAAAAACTACCTAAAAGATAAAGGACTTGATTTTAAATGTTGATGGAAATGTCTACATTTCAATATATGGAAATATCAATAAAATATCAATATCATGAGATATTTTATTTAAAAAATTGGAGAAAGAAAAAAATCATAATAAATATTAAATTAACCAATAATCATTTCACCCTTTTTAAATACCTCAAAGTCTCTTCTTTCCAATGATCATGATGAAGAATCTAATAGCCCCTCTCACGACCCGCAATCATCGAGATTTGATATCGAAGCCCTCGAACAAGGCAGCATCGTCGGGCTGTTGGCGTAATCGTAAGAAACACTTTTCATTTCATTCCTGTAGTTGTGCTTGTTGCTCGAAAAATGAAGAAAGACTTATCGGGAATCGTGTGAAAATTTATTAGTATTAATTTTATGACATATTAGTGATAATTTGTGGTTTTTTTTTATATTTTATCAATTTTTTGTGATATTATTAAAATGTCGATTCATCCTATATACCCATATCGAACTTATAAATATACGAAAATATGGACAGACTAAAATTTAATATTGTGATAAGGAGAATCATATTTAGGAAAAATTGAAAGAACATATTTTAGATTATTTAAATTAAAAGGTGATGTGTGTAATTAGAGGATCTAGAAGCAGGGCCCACCGAGTGTCACTCGCCGGCGCGTAATTTTGTAACGCGCAGTTGACTCACGGTGGCGCTAGACGTGCTTTGTCCGCTGCCCGTCCTTCCCGCTGCCCCTGCCCGTCGGCAATCCCTTAGACCCGGTCAGCCTCAGCCCTCACCATTTTATTATTTAATTATCTATCTCAATTCTCTTCCATAAATTTTAAATTTTCAAATACTCCTCCAAATTTTAAGTTATGAGTTCAATAGATATAGAGGAAGGATCAAGCCCGAACTTTAAAAAATATATATTATAGGTATTTTTTCTACTTAGTTATGTTCAAATTGACAAATGATATAATTTTACATAGTAATATCATAATAAAACATGGTTGATTGTCGTATAAATTCTTTTTAGAAGTATTATATAAATATTAACTAACTTTAACATAACAAGGATTTGCAAAAATATAATATATATATATATATATATATATATATATAGGGAAAAGAAATGGCAAAGTAAATAATTAAGCAAAATAAAATATGATGTAAAAATGTTTTATCCTAACTTTTTGTTTTTCTAGAAAAGAAAGTCCAATTATTTGTAAATATAGCAACAACATTCTGAATTTGCCAAAAAAATAATGATAAATAAAATAAAATCTGATTGAATCATTAAAATAGTCTTAAAATATCTTTTAGTAGTAACATCTAATTTGTCTATCCCTAATAGACATATACATGATCTAGTCGATCACAGATCGACCAATAAAAGAAAACAAATGAAAAGAGAATTACATAAAAATGTTAGGCAGTCAAATTTTTCTTGTAATTACTATATTGACAAAATTTTAATTATGTTTAATATTTACAAATATGGTAATGTGAATGGCCACCCAATCAATTTATTTTTCTTTTTTCGTTAGTTCAAGGCCATGGATTCAAATTTCTAATTTTTTTGGTCCATCATATATGTCCTTGTTAGTTTTTTTTTAATACAATAAATATAAAATACCTTAGTCACTTATATTCATAAATCATCTCGACATATATCTTTACTCACTGATACTCAAATATGAATGTCGCGATTATAGTAGTTGATGACTCTAATATCTCTTATTTGCAACCCCAACTTCAGATTTTATTTGGTGAGAAGGTATTTGGTAATCACACGTTGAAATCTATGAATCCCATTTCAATATTACAGCGCCAACCGATTGACTTTTGACCTCTTCCAACTTCTCAATTTTTTTTCCTTGTGGTGTTCTCGAAACCCAAACCCATCATAAAGTCTTCTATGATCCAATCGCAATGTCTCAGAAATACAAATCAGAAAAAAAAAAAAAAATTTATTAATTTGGTCATCTTATCGCCACATGAAATCATCTCCCTCGACGGCTCATCCTTTGAATAACATTTACATTATAACTTACCCATTACAATTAAACCCACATTCATAGTCGGTAAACATCAATTATTTGTGTTTCCTCCAAATTTCTTCAAAGTATAAATATTTCCGCTCATGGGTTTTCACTTTCTCGTGCAAATTCAACATTCATAATCGTTTTTTCCACAATTCCCATTATAGTCTGAACGGTTCAATCGAAATTGGGGCTATTCTCTCATCTGGGTCTCCTCCAATACCCCGAATTCGAGGGGATTTCTTCCCCATTTTTGCAGGTTCTCGAAATGGGTCCGTCGGAGAAGGACCTGAAACGAGTGGTGGTGGGTCAACTCGCCGAGTCTGTGAGGCAGATTTCGGGGCTCCCCGAGTGCAATAGCATCTGCAAGAAGATGTACGGAGACCTGATTCGAAGGGTGAGGCTGTTGAGCCCTCTGTTTGAGGAGTTGAGAGAAGAAGAAGAAGAAGAAGAAGAACTTGAAATAGATGTTCTTCAGGGCTTGGAATTGCTTAGAATTGCTTTGGATTCTGCTGTAGAGCTTCTCAGGTCGGTCAGCCGAGGAAGCAAGCTATATCAGGTATTGATTTTTCTTGTTCTTGAGTTTTCTGTTTTGTTTGGTTGCTGAGAATCTGAGATTATCAAACCAGAATTCGAAATCCCAATTTCTGGGTCGTTTCGAAATTACTTGGTTGATCGCACCCGAGAAGTTTTCATTTCTATTCATGGTTGTTCCATTGTCTGGAAAAATGGTCATGTTGAGTTGGTTTCTTTGATGTAATCTCCAAATTTGAGGAATTTCTATGGTTTCTTTGATGTAATCTCCAAATTTGAGGAATTTCTATGGTTTCTTTAATGGGGATGTTGGTTGTGCATTGTATTGTGTTTTTGATTCTGTGCTTGATTGGCTGGATATTCACTTGGGACTGAGTAATTTACTGAATGTTATGTATCTTGGTTCATCAAATGTTTAGTGAGTTTTCGACCTATGTTTTTCGTCCCAGGCTTCGCAATTGGAGAAGATAGTACTTGAGTTTCATCATATGACAGAAGATATTGAAGCAGCACTCAGCAAGCTTCCCATTGACAAGTTCGGGATCTCCGATGAGGTTCGGGAACAGGTACGGTTGTTACCTCCATGAATGTTTGATGTATGTTGTCGTTGATATGTTCTCTTTGTTTGGGTTGTCTCACTGAGAGAGAGTTGCAACTGGGATTTTAGTAACAAATTTTGATGAGTTGAGTTGGATGAGTATACAAATGTCGGTCGATGTATCGATGGTTAACTGCTGAATTCATCCGTTTCAGACTGAACTTGTTCACACCCAATTCAAACGAGCGAAAGAGAGAGTAAATTCAGCTGATGCAGAGTTGGACAAGGATTTAGCCATATCAGAGGAAGAGAAAGATCCTGACCCTGCAATATTGAAAAGACTTTCTGAAAAGCTGCATCTAAGAACAATCAACGATTTGAAAAAAGAGTCGCTCGCAATCCATGAGCTGGTTATCTCAAGCGATGGCGACCCGGGGGATGTTTTTGGAAAAATGTCGTCTATTTTAAAGAAGCTGAAGGATTTTGTACAATCAGAAAACCCAGAAGTTGAAACTTCTCAAGGTGAAAGAAGTACAACCATTAAGCACAGATCTCCTGTTATCCCGGACGACTTTAGGTGCCCCATATCTCTTGAATTGATGAGGGATCCTGTCATCGTCTCTACCGGGCAGGTGAACACACAAACTGAATGCTGCACTGTAAGTGCTTTTTCATTGTTATGCTTGTTCATAACCCGTCTTTCGACCTTTGCAGACTTACGAGAGATCTTGCATTCAGAAATGGTTGGATGCAGGCCACAAAACCTGTCCAAAAACTCAGCAGTCTTTACTACATACAGCCTTAACACCGAATTACGTTTTGAAGAGCCTGATCGCTTTGTGGTGCGAGAACAATGGTGTTGAACTACCGAGGAAGCAAGGTAGCTGTAGAAACAGGAAATCTGGAAGTAGTATCTCAGATTGTGATCGGTCAGCCATCGACGCCTTACTGGTGAAACTGGTAAGTGGATCTCCAGAGCAGAAAAGATCGGCTGCTGGTGAGCTCCGGTTACTAGCGAAGAGGAATTCTGATAACAGAATCTGTATTGCCGAGGCAGGAGCCATTCCGTTCCTTGTCGAGCTATTGTCCTCGGACGATACTAGAACTCAGGAGCATGCAGTTACAGCATTATTGAATCTTTCAATCAATGACAGCAATAAAAGAACGATCGTTGATTTACGAGCTATACCCGCTATAGTAGAAGTGTTGAAAAATGGCAGCATGGAGGCAAGGGAGAATGCAGCTGCAACCCTTTTCAGCTTATCCGTTATAGATGAGAACAAGGTCGCGATTGGGGCAGCCGGGGCAATCCCTGCTCTTATAAGTTTACTTTGTGAGGGAACTCCCAGAGGAAAGAAGGATGCAGCCACTGCTATTTTCAATCTTTCAATTTACCAAGGAAACAAAGCAAGGGCAGTAAGAGCAGGCATTGTGGCACCACTTATGAGATTTCTGAAAGATGCTGGAGGTGGCATGGTGGATGAAGCTCTAGCCATTCTGGCCATTCTTGCAACTCACCATGAAGGAAAGATGGGAATTAGGCAAGCCGAGCCGATGACGGTTCTATTAGAGTTCATAAGAACTGGTTCTCCACGCAACCGGGAAAACGCTGCTGCCGTGCTGTGGTCGCTTTGCAGTACCGATATGGAGCAGTTGAAGCTAGCTAGGGAACATGGTGCAGAAGAGGCATTGAAGGAAGTATCAGAGAATGGCACAGATAGAGCCAAGAGAAAAGCAGGAAGCATTCTAGAGCTCTTCCAACGATTTGATGAACCATCTTCTAATCTATAAATTCTCCTGGAATCATTTCATTCCAGAAGGTAATCTGGTTCTCACTTCTCGCGTTATGGTTAATTAGGCCTGATTCATGATTAGCGTTTAATCGACCATTTTCCACGACCTCGTTCATGGGTTCTGCAGATGATGCAGAATCAGAGGGCTATCTTGCTTTGATTTGATTATTAGAGGGGTGAAAGAAATGATGCCAATGCCAATGCCAATGCAATCTTCACCCTTGTAATTATAAGGCATTAAAAGTGAAAGTTACCGTCTTCATTTTTCATATCATAATATATTGTATTTACGATCAAGAAATTTTCATGTGGACTTACCATTTCTCTTGTTTCAAAATTTTGCAAAGAAAGTGCGACGAGTTCCTGCAGAATAGGATATTACATGCCCAGTTATCAGTATTTTGAAGCAATCTGAAATAGAATATAAAATCATGTAAAATACAATACAATACAATATTCTTTACACTCTCGGGGGTCATAGTTTTTTGTTTAGAACCAACACTCTATTGTCACGATCATCAACCGATCTCAATAAAAATAAAAGAAGAGATAATTTTAAGGGAGCAAAACGAACAGACCAAGCTTTTAAATGGACCAAAAAGCTTCAATCTGGACTATTACTGAACAAACCAACAGCTGATTTTCAGTTCTTGCAGATCTAATTCGATAAATAGCTTTGGTGATGTGTATGAAATAAATAAAAAGAAAAATCAAATTAGCCTAGCTTCTCCACGAATGTTTCAGTCAAGGTATTGCCACTAACAATCTTTGTGGCACCAACTATCAACTCATACGCCATTCCCTCCTGCAAGATGAAAATTGAATGATAAATTCAGGGGTTAAGAGCCCTAAAATAAACATGTACTGGAAACATTTACATGCCATTTTTCTTGATGATTTATTCTGCAAAGAGGAAAAATACTGTAATTGATACCATATCCACTTTATTCAATTCAGCGCAAAGCCCGCGTATTCAATGAGACAGGACAAGCTATGGTCGATGTCCTTTATTCTTAGCCAAAAATGACTAAATTAGATTTTTCAGTGAACCAGTCTGCCCATTCAGTCTCTTACTTCCCTAAGTTTCACTTCATTTCTTTCTTTTCCCTCTTCCCACTTCTACATATAAGATTTTGGTATCCCAATAAATATTTAACTGTTCTCATACGGTTATATGATCAACTGTTACTAATCTATTACACAGTTATAACTCTTAGTGACTGTCATGAAACAGCACTGATTTATAGAGACGTGATAGATATTGAAATTTAACTTGTACTTGAAAGAAGAATCTTTCCTAGTACTTTTTATTTCTGGGAACTTAACTTCCCGATATTTACAACTCATGTTGAACTGTCCAGTATTTGAATCAATAGCATAATTACAAGTATAGGATTAAGATCAAATTCCTTAAAACCATAGAAGATACCGAAGTTTAATAGACAACTTAATACCATACCTGACCACTGAGAAATCGAAGAGCAGAAATCTCAGCAAACGTTACTCCTCCAATAAAAACGACGAGTACAAGTGTGCGCCTTCCATCTGTCACTCTGACAGTTGAGACATTTAATTGTCAAAACCAAATCAATGAAATCATCAGTTTTGCATTTAGAGGAAACTACCATGAATGAAAGTCGCCATCCTCAGTATTCCTTTAGCACAATAAGTATCACATATTGATCAACCCAAAAGAAATTCACAACAAATGTAGCAAAGATATTGAAGTTCATTCCTTAAACAATTAAACTCCACTTTTCTGCATACCGGTTTAATCACGAGCAAACAAGTTGGACATGCAAAACAGGGACACCATCCTCATATAATATACTACATTAAACGTATTGAATGAGTTGAGACTTACTTGTCAGTACTGGCTGAAGCCCCTTGCAAGGAATCATAGGATGAACTGCTAAAGAATCCACCCTGGATTTCAAAACCAAAATGGGGAGAGAGAGAAATGTAAGGATACAGGAATTACCCAAAATAAAGCCTGAGAAAAGGGGTAGAAAATTGGAAACAACATAAAAATCGTAAAGCCACAAATTTACTGACTCTCTTTGTTTCTGAATGAGGCCCAGGTAACAGCTTCAAAATTTCTTCAATAGGACGCCTGATACAGCCACATTTATAAGATGAATTTGGCAAATGGAGGTAAATCATATCTGAAGTACAAAAATTTAGGCACATACAAATTGAGATACAGTAGATTCTGAGAACAGTAGAGAATGAAAACAGAAATAATTGATGGGAAAAACATAAATAGCAAAGTAAAATAACAGCTTCTGACATTTATGACAACCCTGCCCTCAGAGCTTAGAGAAAACCAAATCCAGTTAGAGTTAATTTCAAAAGGAGTATAATTACAAAATAATTAGAAAGAAAAGACCAATTTGAACAATTGTATCATTTTTTCACAATACTAATTTTTAAGGTGGAGCTAAATAAGCCAAGGCAACAATGCATGGATTGCAAACAAAAAAAGGCTCACCATCCAGATCTAACAGCTTGTTGGACAAGACGAATGCTAAGAGGTGCATATCCAGAAAAGACATAGGCGATATCAGTCGGGCTGCAACATAATAAGTAGAAGTCAAAAGTAGCAGACTGGTACATCAAATCCAGGTACAACTACTTCATACAAAAATCTAGCACTCAATTCCACCATGTAGGGCAGAACGTTTTGCATTAGATGGTGCATGATTGTGTAGATGGTTGAAACAAACATCACATAAAATTTTAAACAGGGTATGTATCAAAGATGCCAGTTATAAACATACCAAAAAAAGCTAGACAGCCCCTGAATGAAAAATCCATTTAAGATAGGATCCCCGCAAGCAAATGAGTAAAAATACAACAATCCCTTTTTCTTTCCTATTACATACAATCTATCTGCTCATTCTACGTTCCAAAAAAATAGACGTTCATTAATGCAACATCATTGTACAGTTTTTCTCAAACACATCACATCATTACAAATATAGAGTAGACACTACATTGCCACATTTTTACATTGTGCCATAAGAAGTTTTTAGTTAAATTAGCAAGATGAGAAAAAAAAAGCATTAGATGGTACTAAATGTAAATAATTCTATTTAAAAAAAAACGAAGATCACCCCTTAAATTGGAGCACAAATTTAACAGGCTAAATCTATTGTGGTAGAGTTCCATATCAAAGGTTTGGCTCTTGAGTCTTACTTATTTAAAAGCAATTATAACATGAACTCAAGATTCAAGTGATTTCAGCTCATCACCGCTGGAAGCCATAAATGAAGAGAGATTATAAAATGGCTTGAACAGGATGCAGGGAAGGAACATTAAATTATAAACAATAGCTTTAGATGCTTTTAAAATTCAACATTGGTTGAATTACCAAAAGCAATCATTTTTCTCTATAACGAAAATTAGCTACTTCAAAGTAAGTGGAGGGGGCTGGCATTAGTCTGAAATATAACTCTCCTCCTGAGCATATGACTCATTAATTAAATTGCTTAAAATATTCCAGGATTGTTAAAAAGATATCATACATTGCTAACATATAGAACTTTAATGAAAAGGACAAAAAGTAAAATGTTACTACATGATCTGCACATGCCATGACATTATTTCAGCATCCAACTATGAAACAATTGGTTACAAGATGAAGAATAATACTTGACTGTGTTTGTGTCGTCTACAACAAGTTGCAGACCACGTTTGATAGTTAACCAGTTGCTTTTTGACTCCTGCAAGTGTTACAAATTTGATTGACGTAAGATCTTGACTTGAGCACTTGAAAGTAAACCAAAAATTTCCTCAATCTAGATGATGAGGGCTTAACCTGTTTTTTAATTAATCCAGATTTCTCTAAGTTGTTTAATGTACCCATGTGTTCAAACCCATAGCTGTGTAGTAGTTCTCTCCTAAAAAAGCAAAGGCCGGGTAAGTCACCAAGAGTATTCTAATCAATAAAAGGAAAAAAAATCTGACTGGACTAATTCTTACCTCAAGTAGTCAAAATGCCTTTTAGGTAAACCAGAATTAGTAATAGAAAGCAAGATGAGCAGACGGAGGACTTTAACAAGAGGCTCCTGCTTATGGATCAGTTCTTCAATGTACTCAAAACATCTGCAGTTAGAAACTATAACATTTTCACCAGCACACAACACATAATCTGGATGAGCTGTGAAAGCCCATAAATTTTGTGATGTAATAGGCACTAGATAAGTGCGTTTTCAAGACAACTATAGGAATGCTTAAAATTTTGTACTTAAAAAACATTTATTTTAAGCAAAAAGTGGTTTTCTGACTTGAAAGACGTGTTTGACATGGTACTTGTAACAAAAATTTCAGAGGAAGCAGAAAGCAAAGTAATATGTTGTTTTCCAAAGTAACTATTTATAAAGAAAAACAAACAAGAAATACAAGACATTGCACAACATAAAAGATACGTAGCTTTGTCATTTAGACTTCAAAAACTAGATTTTTTACCATGTGAGCACAAGACCATAAATAAAAGCCTCCTTTTCCTGCCTAAACATCATCACGTATGAAAATAGAGCCTCTCTATCAATAATTATACATAACAAAAAGCACAAGTCGATCAAGCACATTTTATGTCTAAAAAACTCATGCAGGTAATAAATTAGTTTACATGTCATAGCTTTCAGCTTCAATAATTGTGTGTTCCATGTCGAGCTGCCCAAGAAAGGATGGCTTTGATGTAAACGTCGACAAGTGTTGAGCAAGGTTTATGTGCCTCTAGAAAGAAATTGTGGCAAATAATAATTTATTATCATGTATAATGCCCTTGGTTAATTCTTTAAGGAAGAAAAAAAAGGCAGAATATACTTACTGTCATTTCTGGCAACGAATTAAGCTTTTTAACAAAGTCCTTCAATTCAGAAACTGATTGCGTCTGTGTTCAACATTAACTACCAATTAGAGTTTGTTACAAAAACTTCTCCTAAAATATATGAGTCAATAGAAATAGATGGCAGGTTGAAAATTCATCATACAACAGGAGAAAAAAAGAATCAGGCTTTTGCGAAGAAGAGACAGACACAACATAATGTAGACATGACAACATAATGCGGGGTAGAGAAAAAGCATACAGAAAATGAGAATCATATCGTAAAGGAATAAACTGCTTACAGTAGTTGACATCTCTGCATAGTCCTGCTTCATGGTCATAGCTTTTTGACGTAGAATCTGCAATTATGCTGAAGAAAACAATTAAGATGGGAACTTCAAAAAAAAAAAAAGATGGTAACTTCAAGAAACGGAGTAATAACAATTTTTCATGAAAACTTTAAAAGAAGG